AAGTGCAGCAGGACATACACCAAGTGCAGCCAGGATATACACCATGTGGAGTCAGGACATACACCAAGTGCAGACAGGACATGCACCATGTGGAGTCAGGACATACACCGAGTGCAGCCAGGACATACACCGAGTGCAGCCAGGACATACACCGAGTGCAGCCAGGACATACACCAAGTGCAGCCAGGACATACACCAAGTGCAGCCAGGACATGCACCATGTGCAGACAGGACATGCACCATGTGGAGTCAGGACATACACCGAGTGCAGCCAGGACATACACCGAGTGCAGCCAGGACATACACCGAGTGCAGCCAGGACATACACCAAGTGCAGCCAGGACATACACCGAGTGCAGCCAGGACATACACCGAGTGCAGCCAGGACATACACCAAGTGCAGCCAGGACATACATCAGGCGCAGTCAGGACATACACCAAGTGCAGCCAGGATATACACCATGTGCAGTCAGGACATACACCAAGTGCAGCCAGGACATGCACCAAGTGCAGCCAGGACATACACCGAGTGCAGCCAGGACATACACCGAGTGCAGCCAGGACATACACCGAGTGCAGCCAGGACATACACCGAGTGCAGCCAGGACATACATCAGGTGCAGTCAGGACATACACCAAGTGCAGCCAGGACATACACCGAGTGCAGCCAGGACATACACCAAGTGCAGCCAGGACATACACCAAGTGCAGCCAGGACATACACCAAGTGCAGCCAGGACATACACCGAGTGCAGCCAGGACATACATTAAGTGCAGCCAGGATATACACCGAGTGCAGCCATGACATACACCAAGTGCAGCCAGGACATACACCATGTGCAGCCAGGACATACACCATGTGTACTCAGGACATGCACCATGTGCAGCCAGGGCATGCACCAAGTGCAGCCAGGACATACACCGAGTGCAGCCAGAAAATATATCAAGTGCATCCAGAACATACACCGAGTGCAGCCAGAATATACACCATGTGCAGTCAGGACATACACCGAGTGCAGTCAGGACATACACCGAGTGCAGCCAGGACATACACCGAGTGCAGCCAGGGCATGCACCAAGTGCAGCCAGGGCATGCACCGAGCGCAGTCAGGGCATGCACCAAGTGCAGCCAGGACATACACCGAGTGCAGCCAGGACATACACCGAGTGCAGCCAGGACATACACCGAGTGCAGCCAGGACATACATCAGGTGCAGTCAGGACATACACCAAGTGCAGCCAGGACATACACCGAGTGCAGCCAGGACATACACCAAGTGCAGCCAGGGCATGCACCAAGTGCAGCCAGGACATACACCGAGTGCAGCCAGGACATACACCATGTACAGCCAGGACATACACCGAGTGCAGCCAGAAAATATATCAAGTGCATCCAGAACATACACCGAGTGCAGCCAGAATATACACCATGTGCAGTCAGGACATACACCGAGTGCAGTCAGGACATACACCGAGTGCAGCCAGGACATACACCGAGTGCAGCCAGGATATACACCGAGTGCAGCCATGACATACACTAAGTGCAGCCAGGACATACACCATGTGCAGCCAGGACATACACCATGTGTACTCAGGACATGCACCATGTGCAGCCAGGGCATGCACCGAGTGCAGCCAGGACATACACCGAGTGCAGCCAGGACATACACCATGTACAGCCAGGACATACACCGAGTGCAGCCAGAAAATATATCAAGTGCATCCAGAACATACACCGAGTGCAGCCAGGATATACACCATGTGCAGTCAGAACATACACCGAGTGCAGCAAGGACATACACCGAGTGCAGCCAGGGCATGCACCGTGTGCAGTCAGGACATACACCGAGTGCAGCCAGGACATGCACCATGTGGAGTCAGGACATACACCGAGAGCAGCCAGGACATACACCGAGTGCAGCCAGGACATACACCAAGTGCAGTCAGGACATACACCGAGTGCAGCCAGGACATACACCGAGTGCAGTCAGGATATACATCGGGTGCAACCAGGACATACACCAAGTGCAGCCAGGACATACACCAAGTGCAGCCAGGATATACACCATGTGCAGTCAGGACATACACCAAGTGCAGCCAGGACATGCACCATGTGGAGTCAGGACATACACCGAGTGCAGCCAGGACATACACCGAGTGCAGCCAGGACATACACCGAGTGCAGCCAGGACATACACC